AAAATAAACAATGAAAATTGTGATTTGGAGCATCAACAACCTCAAATGAATAAACAGACTCAGAATTATTTGTCAGTACTCGATAAGTTTATTAAGGGACAATCAAAACGTCTTGCATGAAAAAGTAGGACCAAAGATAACCAATCGTTTATCTTCTCAAGCCCAAGCTCACAGTCAAACTAAAGCTTTCCTACTTTAGCCTCATGAAGTTAAATAGAAACAAAAACGATAAAAGCAAAGCGCAGGTTTCCCTCGTCATCAGGTGCACATCGAACGTACGATTTTATTTTACAGCCAAGATCCAACAAAAAAAACGGTTTACATAGAAAAAGATGATTAATATTCAGGAGCATGAAGCAGAATTTACAGAATTACAAAAGTAGTAAAAAAAATTAAATAAAAAAGGTTTTTTACTTCTAGCACCACAGGCAGGAGTGAGTTCGTCACAGCGCTGGAAAGGTCTGTAGCTGCTGGAGTTATGATTTTAATAAAACTTGTTTGTTTCGTCGCGGTTTTAGAAAACGTCTGAAATGAGATGGAGAAAAGTTGCTGTTCTTACAGGAGCCATGCTGAGTTCAAGGCTCGTGGGAAATTTGTCAGTAAAAAGTTACATTCATGTGCCGTTACTTTTATTAAAATCAATAATTAAACCTCACTTGTACATCGGCTTAAAAAAGTGATTATTGTGGTGAGTGACGTTAGCGAAGCTGTTAATCAACCTCATCGCTGAATTTTCAACAGATTTAGTTTTTGACATTTCACTACAAAGGCGTCCGTCCCATTAGCGGATAATAACTTTTATAAATCAGAACTGGAGCAAACTTTTTACCTGACACACTGTACGCGTTGTTTTTGTAAATCTAATTTAAAGTCTGCAGTAAAATCCGCCTTTTATTTACCATCGTAAGAGCAAACTGGGGAAGTAAAGGACTGCTGTCCCAAAGTTTAGGCCTCAATCAATCTGTGATTTATAAAATGCATTTTTCACTCTGGCTCCTCCCTCTTTAAGATACCTTTAAGCCAGCTTTCTGCTGATTGGATGGGTCCGGCAAACAGAAGGTTCAACGGCAGGTGGGTGGGGCTTAAACGTGCTGAGGTGTCTCTCTCAGTGCCTGACAGATCTTCATATCTGAATCTGTGGCCACGTTTAAAATGAGAATCCACCACAGGACGTGAACATCTGACAGAATAAATCATAATACTTCAAATTTACAAGAAAGATATTT